CATCCCATCCATCCATCCATCCATCCAATCCAGTCCATCCCTCCATCCATCCAAGTCCATCCATCCATCCATCCATCCATCCATCATCCATCCATCCATCCATCATCCAATCCATCCTATCCATCCATCCATCCATCAATCCATTCCATCCATCCCACTCATTCACTCCATCCATCTATGCCCATTTCATCCATTCATTCCATCCATCCATCCATCCATCCATCCATCATCCATCCATCATCCATCCATCCATCCATCCCATCATCCATCCATCCATTCCATCCATCCATCCATCCATCCATCCATCCATCCATCCATCAATTATCTTTCCATCTATCCATCCATCCATTCATCTCTCGATGACTCTATAGCTACTGAAGGTATCACAGTATATTACTACAGTCATTTCATATAGTAACATGCTATACGTCTAATTAAAATAAGGTTCAGTTACGAAGTCAATAACATATTACGCCTGTAGTTATGTATTTATGTGGGACGAGCTGTATGTATGTCGACTGCTACTTTGAGTATATTGAAGAGGAATTTGGAACATGTTTTGATTACGAGGCGCAAAACATGCAGTTGGGTATGCAGAACATAGTGCTAGTTTAGGTACATTTATGTATTTGTAAACATTTGTACATTTTTATACAAGAAATATATATATATATATATAATATATATATGCCTTATATATATTATTATATATATATGATATTGTATATATATTATATATATATAGATTCCAATGCCTGTCGTTTATGAGAGTGGTGGTGTTGGGGACTGCCGTGTGTCCGAGAGTGCTCGGATACTACCATGAGTAGCAGCAAATATAAGATAAAGTTATACGGACCGGGGGGTTAGTAATTTTTGACTCATGTTATATTGCATTAGCAGCAACTGTTCTCGTGTTGGAGTGAAAGCTCCACATCATCAGTGCCATAATACAGATGTGCCATTCTATTTTCTAGGAATCATCGCGAGCCAGCTATAAAACATCATTGCATAACTGTTGATCATTGTTCGTATGTCGTACGTTAGTTAGGAGTACCGTGCGCGTTTCTAAAAGAATACCATCAGATACTAATTAGCGCGTCATTTGTCGATGACTGCTGGCGCCGCTGCGCTAAGCATTCAAAGCCTTAAGCATTGACGCTAAACCTGAATTCATTGGTAACGAGTTCACATAACCGTTTCCTAAACGGAACTCGACAGAATTAGTAAAACATTATTTGCGAACTTAAAAGACAAACAACCTAGGCTACTGCGATTAAATGAGATACTGAGCAAAGCCGCCACAGCTACTCGAACACTACGAAGAAATGCCAACCTATGCTTTAACAGAGAAGTTCTACATATTGCTGAAAACCTGAGACCGCGACACTATGAACAAGAGAAACGAACTGTTAGTAAATGCGCAGACATAAAAGATAAATTTTATATTATAGGACAGGTATGTGACCTCTTACAATGCAATTCAGCTTAGCGGCCAGCGCGCCAGCAAGTCACCGACAATGACGCCGCTAATTAGTATCTATGCGTAATTCTTTAAACGCCGCAACGTAAATGAATACGAACAATAGATCACACTTATGCAATGATGTTTTATACTACTCGGGATGTTCTACAGTAGATCACTCTGTTTAGCACTGATCAAGTGTGGCAGCTTTCGCTCCACACAGAAACAGCTCTGAATGCAATAAACAGAGTCAAAATTACTACCGGTGTCCGTATAACTTTATCTATATATATATATTGCTATTGGAAATTAACTTCCGTTGGAAATTTGACAATGTTGTAGGCCAGTAAAATATTCTGAATATGCCTATGAAATCTAGATAATTTCAGAATAACTAAAAAATTGTGAATTTGATTTTTGACTTTGACATGATGGTTAGCAATAGATATTCTTTCACGGACGTGATAACTTATGTCATGCAGTGTCCGTATTTTTATCACACACTGCATGACTACAGAAAATATATAATTTGGCTCTAGAAATATCTACATCTGTTGCAGATACTTAGTAGATACTCTGCTTTGTGTAATACTTCGCTTCACGTTCAAGTTTCGAAATTTTCTGCAGAGCGAGGCGTTTGCCACAAGGTAGAGAGAGTTATAGATAATCATATTATATAATTTCATCATATATATGTGTTGTATTATATTATATATATATATATATATATATATATATATCAAAACAGC